CGTTAAGAAGGAATTATTAAAGTATAAACAATTCCAATTATTTAACCCCTCCAACATCATTCATACCCATAATGTTCAAGAGATATAACAAGCACACCAAGGGATGATATCGACGGAGGTGCCAATGATGATCATAGTGATTGTACATGCAACTTTCGTCCATACAAAGGTCCTAGACAAACAACAAGCTGGTCCTTACAAAAAGTTTGTATCTCAACAAAAAATACACTTGCAGCAATTGGGGCGGCGGTATAGATGTACAACTGAACACCTGGACTTTTCATGATAAAGGAACACGACATCAACAAAAACAGATTCGGGGAGCACTTGAACAATATGCAAATAATGACGTCATTACAATTTGGTTTATTGAACTACAAAAAGAAGAAAGAAAAGTGACAACAATACCACCACCCTTAGCAACCGTAGCTCCGCGAGTACCATCAACCGGACAAACAATAGCATTCTATGCTCCCGAAACCGAACCGATAACTCCAACTTCGGATAATGAATTTAATGAACCAGTAACAGTGGCAGAAAGCGAATTACCAACGTTATTACCATTAAATCAAAATTTCCCATGTGCGCTCATTTCTTTACCTGATACAGCGGAAGTGGCGGTAGGGGACCGGATTTCTGGCCCCACGCCTACATCCTCAGTACCACAAACAGTCGAGCAGTATGATTATGAATACCTTACAACCATTACCTCGAAGACCACAACAACAACGAACTCCGACAACATCTCGGGTCTCTGCGCACCACCGAAAAGTGAAAAACAAAGTCTCATCTATTAAATACCATAAGAGTTTACTTTCAAGAACAAGTAAACGAATTCGATATCAAACTTCATGATAGACTGACTATTTACCAGTGGCCATTATCAGAGACTATATGGACGTGATTAATCATATAAAAACATATGATCTGTTTAGCTCTTTAGTTAATATCATTTTCTTTCGTTCTTGTTTGATTTTGTTCAGGTTTGTTCGTTTGTTTGATTTTGCTCGGTTTTGTTGTTCTGACTCCTTTCGGATGGATGATATATCCTTCTCGAACGAGAAAAGTGTTAAGTCTAGAGACTTCTTACACTAGTCCTATGTTTAGTTTCTTTACTTTTCTTATTTTCGCACGTATCAAGGCACGAGATTTTCTTCTCACATGTCAGGACATGACCTTCTCTTTCTTTTTGGACATAGTTCAAGCAGCAGTCTTTATATCTTCACTGTATTTCAACTTCTTTTATATATTTTTGGCTATTTTTTTTCTCTATCTTTAGTATATATAATATACGACTTTTTCAGTTTTATCGTAGAGTGTGTACGAGAGCCGAAAGAGTGTATGTTACGTAAGTGTGTGACATTAACGCAGTTGTTTGTTTTATTATATCATTTTGATTGATATCTCAATATATTACAGACAGTCGGGAGATATCTTATTTTTCTCAGAATTCCATGCTCTATCAGGCTATGTGGTTTGCAGAGTTTTCTGACCAAAAAGCAAGGACTTGGCTTTCCAGCGGTCAAGTTTTCCAGAAACCCTATTATCAAGTTTTCCCCTGAACCGGCGATATGCACCTCATCTGATAGAAGATTCTTCGGGCTATTCAAAACAGTATTCAGATTGGTTCCAGCTTTTACTAAAAAATCAAAAACAAAGGAGTTCTTGTGATTATTACATATTGTACCACATAGATAGCACCCAAACGCTTCTTTTCCATATCTTTAATGACTGGTCCCACCTGTGTGGATATTCTGACCAGCTCACTTTGTGGAGAATTTCAAGGGCTATCCAATGGTATGTTTTGAAAATATATAATTTTTCATTATGGCAGAGAAATGACTAAAGGCGTGTTTAAAGCACTAAGATAGGTGAAAATCATTATATCGGCCAAGCATTTCGACTATTGACCCATGTAGGCATATCTTTGAAAGACTCAGTCATAGCTCATTTTGAAGCCCGTAAAATTCTCCATCGAATGATATATAAAGTAGACTGGTTAACGAGAAAATCAACGGATACTATAAACATGAACAACGGTGACTAGGTATACGACGAACCGAACAACCGACTCGAGCAAGTTCGAATCAGACACTGTTTGTTTTTTCATTTCTGTTAAGTGTCTCCTCATCGCATAAATTTGACGAGTTTTAAGTGTGTTTAAATCACATCAGTGGCTGAAATAATCGAAGATGCTCGAATCGATGAAAAACTAATAGATACTGACACTGACACAGACAGAAAATTAAATGAAATCATTTGTACATTTGGATTCTTTTCTGTTTTATAGCCGAGATATTTTTTCTACCTTGTTTTTCTACTGACAGCTTCGTGAACAGTTTGAGTGAGAGATTGAACAGTAAAGTTTAGAACATAGATGAGATTAGAACCGAAAGGGATTTTCGAGTAGAACTGTTGATAAGCTGAAGGGGATTGTTATTTTTCTTTCTATTTTACTCATTTCTTATATTAAACAAGATTACTTTTTTTGACACATTCAAGCTTGCTTTTACTTACACAAGTAGTAAATTAGACTCTATAAAACTGTATAGTGACAGTGAGCACAAAATGCTTAGCACGTCAATTCACCTACAATTTTAGACGACTAAGAAAAAGCTGTAAATTAATGAGAGAAAATAGCATTTGAAAAAAGTCGATCAGTGTCTGAATGTTCAGTTCGAACAGGTCCGACTCGGGTAGTGTCAGAGTAAAACACTCTTTGAGTCAAACAGTGTCCAAATGGAACAAGCTTGAGTCAAACATCGGACTTCAAATTCGACGCTTCAGACTATCTTATCTCAAATGAAATCGATTTCTTTGTCCGAGAATTATCATTTCTATCGTAATTATATTTACAGTTTCATTTGAGACATTGTATCCCTTATCCTTATATAACTAAATTTTGTGACCAGCGAAACACCAGATGCTCCGCGGGCATCGCTTGCCGTTCATATTTTCTGTGGCAATTACCCACTCTAGTTTTTGCAGAGCACCATAGATTTCTTCACTACTCACAATTAATGTTTGTTACAGTCACCGGACATCAAGTGATACGACTGCTGCTGGTGACATTAGACATTTTATCTTTGACTGTCAGTATGGCACGAAGGTATAATCAGATCTATGTCAATAATAAAGTCTTGTTTGATATCAATCCCGCATTACTATTTGAGTGTGTCCTATCTGTTAATATGGAACATGACATAAATCGCAAGCTTTGACGTCCTCGAAGACTTAAACGCACTGTAGACGAACGATTGTTACTACGATAAAGCGTAGACGATGATCAAGCAGCGTTTCTCGCACTCTTTGACGGTAGAAATAGAGGAGTGCACAGTGCCTCTAAGTTTAAAATTCTGCTAGCACGTTAAACGTTCTTCGCGCGTTTCTAACTGCATCATAAGCTTATGTGACATAATCCAAGCTATATATTGCATCCGTTATCCAGTAAAGGTGCTTTCAATTCTGATGCTTATTTTGACGCAATAGTATCAACTTAATGGTGAGTTCGCGAAAAAAATTCGGAGGCGTTCGTGACTGAAAATATAATCAATAGGCGTCTGGAATAGCGAACTAAAACCATTGCATACTAAAACTGATTAATTACCACCATTTGCTCGTTAGTCTTATGCGAAAAATCTTTAATTTCGCTGACTTTCGATTAGGCTTATTCTTATTGTGTACGTTTTGCTTTATTGTGATTTCCATTATTTATACAGGTTTCGATACAAAGATAAGATTTAAAATTTATTTTTAATCAAAGAAAACAGTCACAACAATAGCGAAACATTGTTTTGCTTTCAAATTATACAAATGATATCCAGCTATTTAAGGAAATGAATAGTATTACGATATTTCGCTTGTTAAACTCGAATGTCACTGACTCAGTCTTAGGACACATTCAGGACACAGATTCTGCAAATCCAATTCTATTTTGTCCAAAATCAAATACCGTATATAAACGACGAAAAAGACCTTGTCCCAATATCCCGACACTGTGTACATCACCTTTCGACATAAAACGACTATAGCATTTTGTATCATTAGCAGATTTGACCACATAATCGGAACTATGCATTATAAACCATTTATTTCCTAAACCTATATACACTGAAGAGAATCGAAATCTATTGAACAGTCGAATCGATACTAGAATAAGAGAGAATTCATATAACCGCATCAGAAAACCCGGCATAACACAAGATTACAGGTATTACTAAAATACGCTAACACGCACTAACGAACCCTAATATCCACCAACAACCCCAAAATCAAAGTCCGCGATAGACCTGTTCTTTGTGAATAAAGGAACATTCAATAAACACCGAAAAACTTTATTTCAAAGAGGATTCTTTAGAGCTTTTTCTTTAGTAACACCCAAAAACGTGACTCAAACACCCAGCGTAATATGCCAGAATAATCTCCATCCTTTTTTGATCCCATTAAATCACTTTTGCATCCATAGGAAGTCTCACCCTCACGACAAACAGCTTTCTCTGTATATAGGAGACGTTCTCATTCAGAAAAAAGCTTTGTATAATAAATTTAGATGCTGTAGAAGCTTTGAGATTGGCATACCCGAAAGAAAACAGGTCAGTCCTAATGGTGGGTGTTGAAGCTACATATCTAGATAAATGATAACTCTATTGGTGGTGGCGCTTCGAATCTCGTAGAGTCCACTAGGTATAGGTCGATTTTGTAAACCTATCAAGTTTTTCTACATCAGCGATGGAGGCAAATATTTTATCTCATTCGGCTCATCATGCCACCAGTCAAAAAGTTACGCATCGCTTTTTTTCTCTTTCCTTTTCTTTGTCGAGAAAAATCGTTTTTACTGGTATCATATTCATTTTAGGCGGTATTCAAGGCTTTTCGAATTCAAATAAGACTTTTAGTCGTAAACTAAATACAGAT